ATAGGACAAGTCACGTGGTTTAATATACCAAAGAAAATTGCGCACGCTATACTGGCTATTTGTTTCTACAATGTTCTTAAAACTTTTACTTGAGAAAACACTAGCATATCTAGACAAATTATTGTTTTTAGAATACCTCGTGCTAAATTAAGAGAGAGTAAGATTTCTCTTTCTTTCAAATGATGATGAAGTTTTAAAAGTAGATCTAATCAAAAAATAGGGAAATTTTCATTACTTATTTAAAAAAAGAGCGATATAATTTTGCAGGTCTCCGACTGGGCCGCGCTAAAAACCTAAACGTCCCTCTTTCTGTATACGATTTTTTTCCCCTTAAATTAATGAACGCACTTTGAAGATCAAAGTTTGTGACTGAAAATTTTGAAACAACAAGATCATGTCACGATTTTTGCTTTGACAAACGCTGATCAACTCTGAAAAAGCTTTTCAAACTTTTGGTAAAAGGTAATTCATTAAGTCAAAAATTTTATTCAAATTTCTTTTCGTTTTCTTGCATAATACATTGTACTTTTGTTGTTGTTTTCTTTTCTTCTCACCTCGAGTAGTACAAAGTCTTGGATGTTTTCTTTTTATCCTCGCTCTGTCTACAAAAGTTACATCAAACCTTATATTCTCCATTGAGTACACGTCTTGGCAAGCTTTACTCAGTGTGTGACTTGTCTGTTCAGATATGTCTGTCTAGCGCTATGAGATGATGAAGTGAAGCCTTTAAGATGAACGCCAGCTCGTGCTGTYATGGGAGGCTCGGTCACTTTTCAAGATGGCGGACTCAGTTTTAATGTAATACACGAGACGATGGGCTTATTGATGGAGGTTAGAATTAATTATTTCAATTATGGGCGATATGTAATATAATTACGATTTATTCTTATGTTTCGCTGATTAGTATTGGTTAAGAGTACATTATCCATATCGTATAAGCCGTTCTAAATTAGTTAAAAAGTCTAATTAGCTCATATATTAGTAATATAAACAATAGTTTATTAATAATATGCCGGTTAGTATTCAGTTCTTTATCGATTTGTGTCTTGCATGTGCTGTTTGTCAAGTTTTTGTGCTTTTTGTGGTGTGATTAGTTTCTTATTTCTTGTGCAGTGCAAGATTTGTTTACACATGCCTTTCCATAATACGCAAACATGACATGCATAGTGCCGCTATCATGTATTGGACAAACTTGTTCAAAGCTAAACTATTCATATAGTAGTGAGTAAGCCCAATAAGTAGGCAAAGTTTGTCTGTTTGGTGTCCCACGACGAAAATAAATTCAACATCAAAGAACTGTCCGGGATCCCTGTGCATTTTAGTTTTGGGCTTCCTCAGTAAATACATGCCATATATGGAAATAAACAAAATGGCGGATTGTTCCGAAATGTTCTCACTATAATATCTGCAAGTTTKWTACGATTAAAAGCTTTAAAAKTTGATRAAATYGCCAAACAACATTCCACACGGTACTCCGAAACAATATTACCATATATGTCTGCTAATCGAATGGCAACTTTCGAGCAACTTTTCTGAAGCAATTCTTTGATAAAAAAATATAGGTGATAAATTAAAAAAAATTTAGCCCAACACAGAAGTGTAATAAGTGTCGCTTACTTTCAGGAGCTGCCACAACTCGAGGGCACAACATTACGACATAGAGTAGATAAGAACCCCAACAGTCTCCTTCGCATTTCCCTGCGCCATCTTGAAAGGTAGCCGTGCCATTACATCGAAGCAAGACAACCGTTGAGCGTGCAATGATAGATACCTGTGAATAATTGTCTGTAGGTGTGAAAAAGGGTTTCTATCACTGCACGCTGAACGGTCGTCTTGCTTCGATGAGAAGGCACGGCTACCTTTCAACTGACACAGGGAACCGTGAGGAAGACTACAAGAGAGGAGGCGAACCACTTGGCTTTACTACAAGCATGGCCGAGAAACTGAATCTGAACTTATCGAAAGCGAATGAAATTCAGCCTCAGCTAGTGACCAGAGCGGGAATCGATCCTGAGACCACCAGACTACGAAACTAAATCAATGACCACTCGAACATGCTGCTTCCTAAAACAACTTGAAACAATCCTCTTTTTTGTTTAATAGGCTCTCGTCGCCATTGTACTCAGTAACAACCTCAGCTTTGAACAACCTTGTCCATCAAACTGTGTCAGTGTTTTTTAATTCAATAACCAAGCTCAAACGGCGTCGAAATTTGGATTGCCAAATCGAGCGATTGTTAAACACTGGAAAAAATCGCGCGCTTTTAAGGTTGTAATTTTGATGTATATATGATGTAAGTGTCCAAAATGATGTAAATTTGATGTAAATCATTTCCATCAAATTTACATCATTTTGGACACTTACATCATATTTCCATCAAATTTACAACCTTTATGGCGCGCGATTTTTTCCAGTGAAACTTCAAATCTCACGAGTGTCGTAAGTAATGAAGGTAGGGCAAAATGTGCAAAAATTGGCCTTATTTGCTTTGTAWTACGCACATGCAAAATTCGAAGTTTGAAAAAGATTGACAAAAAAGTGCCATTTTTTATCCCACTAAAACATATACAATAAGTGAATCAAAAGCCAATATGTTAACAGAAGATAAACATTAAAGATCTTTGAAAGCTTCGACTCGAGAGTGTATCAAATTTTGTTCGTTCTCAACTCTTTGGCCTACCGTAACCACAACAGCAGTTTGCCAGTGTCTTTTAATGAGTTCGGTAATGAGTATCTGGATAAATTGACTTCTCTCATATAGCATATGTTATCGTTTAACATGTTTGTCCAAATATGGCAGCACACTTTGTATCCGAATTTTCAACCGCAAAATTTGATACAAGTCAAAACAACGAGAGAACAAGCTTGATGCGTGAAAATTAAAAATTCAAAACAGCTGTCCACGGTTTTTAGGTTATGGGTATATAGTCGAATGCTTTCATTGAACTCGAAGTTGTCAATGCAATGAAGTGTTTTTTTAGTTGAACAATACGTTTAGCCTCGTAGTTTAAAAATTGTGCATGTTCTTCGTCTTTCCAAATTCAGTGGATACGCCGTTTGAGCTTAGTTATTTCCCTGTTGTTGTTGTTGTTGTTGCATGCTAGTTGTCGTGTATAACAAAAGTAATAAAGTGTCTCGTTTTAGTTCTATATTTATTGATGTTTCACTTATGTATATATGTTGATTTATGGATGTAGTTTTTTTTTGTTTTCCATAAGTGGTGCCTTAGTGTTGTATAAAAGGCAATGGTGGTCGGTACAATAAAACAAAAACATTTTGAACACAATATTTCAAACTCGCCCGCACATTTCAAATCGTGTTTTAATTAATTAAAATAATGTGTCGAAAATTCGGAAGCAGAATGGCCAACTAGATAGGGACTCAGAGGAGACTTGAAATCCTCAATTCCGTTAATTTTTTTTTGACTAGATAAGACAAAAAATGCTTTATTCTACATCAAATTCGCATATTTCAGGTTTTGAATCATCCGCAGTTGAAAATAGCCAAAATATTCGACCTCCGAAAATTCCTACTGATGTGAAATGACCGAAACCCCTAATTTCCCCTTCCGAACATATTTAGTCAAACATGATAAACTCTTCCAAGGTCTTTCCCAGSTTAATTATTTAAAAGGACAGTTCTGAATTCAAATAAAAGACATAAAAAGGTTTTGATCAATGGTGCATTATTGCATGTCGGTTGTGTTGTGGCAGGAGATTCCGGTCCCTAGCCTTTATTAAAATTGCAGGCGAATCTGGGATGTGTTTTTTTTTATCCATGTTTAATCTATGACCGACCACCATACGTATATACTATTTAACCAACTGAGAATACCATCCTTCTTGTGCAGCCATACACAGGATCAGTTTTCATCTGAGTGGACACTTCAATTCAGTTAAATTCTCGTCCWATTAATTTCTTACTGTACCAAAGCAAGGGAACATCCGTAATGTGGCAGATGTTTGTGTATTGAAACAAAAAACACTTCATAAAACATGTGAAATATGACTTTCTCCACTCAAACAAAAACAGCTCCGATAGCTCCTGGTATCAAAAGATTCCTCTTTAAACTCTCCAAAGGAAAAAAAAAACCTTGAAAGAGTCCTTTTGGAATACTTGTCTTAAGTATATTCCATGGTTGTCGTAAAACTGTCAGTTAATATCAGCCTAGACCATTAGCGAATTGACACAGACGCGCGCGCATATAAAAAAACCCTGTTTGTCTGTACTCACTATTGGGCTTTTGAATCTTTCAAGGATTAAAGAAATGACTYCGTCATTTTTTTCTCATTTGGTTGAAGATTAAAGAGGATTCTAATAACAGAGCTAATGGCAACAGTTTTCTCACTTGTTGTAGTTCGCGTTTAGTTAAGAAGCTTACCTATTATATAATAAAATGTCTGGCGTCCAAATTCGTCCAGGGCTTACATACACTGCTTCAACACCATTGTATTTACTAGCATTCCATGATAAATCCTTGTTTGACCAGTGCTTAAAGTAATACATGGAAAACAAATTAGTCTAAGAAGACTACCGTATGGCCATGTGTGGAAGGGAAYTGGGTGGGGAAATATGGCCGCTTTTCCACGTGGACGTGTTAACTGATTCAAAAGTTATCGATTCAAATTCATTAATTAAAGAATCATAACCACCCGGCGTACCTTGCGAACCGAAGCGCCATTTTAGGTGGGCACGAAAATGGCAGATTTGTAGGATTTTTTAAAGTGAGCGCAAATCGTCTTCCGTCTTTTCAGTTTGGACAGAAATACCTTTAACTAAGTACCTTACAGGTACTATCAATCTATAATTTATTGTATGCTTGACGCATTTAAACGTATGTAAACAATAATACGAGCGCGCAAGGTACGACGGGTGGTTATGATTCTTTAAGATGTACAAAGCCTCCTTTACAACCTCTGGAACTGCAAAAATTCTGTGGTAGATGTAGGGAATGATATCTTTGAATTTCTAAAATAAATATTCTATTTATTGTCGATTGTTACCTGCTGGACCCACCATTCCGTCTGCATGGTGTTTGCTCGTTCATTCTAGCAGAAAAAAACATTAATCRGTAAAGAAAACTTTCTAAAATTCTAATAATGTTAATGGTTTTTTCCGAGTAATTTTTCCAATTTTTTAAGCCGTTCTGTGTTTATWTCGCAGGACAAAGACACAAGCATATTTTTTTCTATTACGAGCGTGCGAGCGGCGGACCATGTCTATATGTTCCCTTAAACACGGCCATCAGCCAATGAGAGCGAGCGTTATATCTCCAAAAAATGTATAAAACTAAATTAATGATACTCCTTTTAGTGYCAGTTCTAACATGATATTCAAAGAGGATGACCGCTGACTCTAATGAATGAAGACTTACTCATAATAAAAGAAACACGAAAAATGTTTTAATATAAAAGATGCATTCTGCATTCCCAAAAATAATTTTCTTTMAAACCKCYATTATGTTATTTGAAACAATTAGTGYTTTCTTTGTAAAGGTATTTGCCCAAGACAATCTGTTGAGTTGTCAAAGGTGGTCCAGTCGTCCTTTTTCATCTTGAAAAAGTTGCATTTAAAATAAATGATGCTGACTTATTTAACATTAGACTTACTAATTCGCATACGTTAATTACTTAGAATAGAAGAAAGCACAAAAAGCGCATGTTTTCATTAAAGGGACACTGTCAATGGCACGCATGCGCGAGTAAACTTGAAAACATTAGGCTAATGCTAGACTCCAAGTTGGCGCGACATAAATCAGCTCGTAAACGTAAACAGATCTAGAATATTCCAAAGTGTGTCAAAAGCACCACAAAATGATTTTCCTCGAAGGTCATACTTTCAAAGTCCGTTAGAGGCGAGACTGTTACTGYGCATGTCATCCATTGACAGTGTCCCTTTAAGAAATGATAACAACACGTATTCCCGGAGAAAATGCGTTTTCTGTTTATAAAATCAGCTTTGCTTTCATTTTTTTTTGAGTCTGTTGTCGAATAAATCAGCGGCTACCCATTGAAATAGAACAGTTTTACACCATTACGACAACGAATTAGCTGCAAGATAGCTAGAAGTTGTAGTGACCTCTAAACCAGCCTGACTGTTTTTTTTTTAATAATCAGGCATGAATACATTTAACCGCAAAAATATAGTTAAAAATGTAGTTATAACAAATGGCGAATTTCCAAACCATAAAAAGTACTTACCACACCGATAATCCGAACTAGCTTTGCAGTGAACTTTACCGTGATACCACCTGTACTGTTTTGAACTCCAGAAGCCTCCGCATTGTAAGACAAAGAGTCACTATCATAATTCTCAAACATATCTTGGAGCAACTGYTGTTGTGGATTGCGTCGCTTCGAGAATGCACATTCTGTTTTACAGAAAATCTTATTAGTCAACAATTCAAAATGAAAAATTGTTAAAAAAGAAGAATGGAAGCTACGATTGTTCCCCATAAAACCTCGTGTAAAGTTAATAAGTCAATTAAGCTTTACCACCGTAAGATGATGAAAATTATTAATGACAAGGCGGGAACTTCGAATAGTCTGACTTAAGGTAGCTGTGAAAATTCTACATGTAAAGAAAACGAAAAAAAATATTTTGAGGATCAAATAACGACGACTCAAGTACCATTATGAAATATCGTCCAGGCAATGCTTTTTTAAATTTATAGAAAACGGGGGTTGGTATGATGTTGAAGTTAGCCAGCCAAGCATACAGCATTTTCCTGAATTAATAATAAATTATGATGTTGTATTGAACAAAAAACAGGATGCCAAACCAAAGCACAAATCTCCATACAACTAATTTCTTTTCGAGCAGTTTTTATGTGAATTGTACTTATTAAAAATTTGTTCACAGCTTCTKGTGTTATRTTTTGGCCAAATTGAAAACATTGATCTCAGTGTGTCAGGAAATCGGCTTTTTTCATTCAACGTTTCAAGGTTTTCGTTTAAGTTTTGTTTATAATTTCGAAGGATTTGTTTATAATTAATATGTAGGATAAAAAAACTGGAAACAATCAACCGCATTACCAGAAAAATACAAACCAAAATGATCAAGAGATTTAAAATAATTTCCATAAAACTCAAAATAAACTAGAAGTAATGAGTGCACTTTACAGTAAGACATTTTTTGTACTTTTTTCTATCTTATGTCAATAGAGTATAGAGCTTGAGATGTCATCAGTGACAAGAAAAGCAAACGAACCGTGAAAGTGTTTTGAGAAAATATTTAAATATTCAGKTTTTTCCTTTAAACTGAATGAATTTTCGAGTTTTTGTTAATCTTCCAAAGAAAGTAATTCCATTAAAGAGGAATAAAAGTAAAATGTTTTGTTTCAGAATAAAACTTAGTTTTTTATGAAAACTTATTAAATATTAGCGTACATGTGATGCTTCATTTGTGGCTTTCATATTCAGAAAAAAAAATATTTGAAAAAATGTTATTTTTCAATATGAATCAAAAGATCTTAGTAAAAAATTAGATTAAACGCTCCATATGTGAAAAAGCAAACACAGAGTGGCAGAGCAATAACCTTATTTGTTAAAAAGGTTAATGCAGAAATTCCATATCTAATAATGAAAAAAAATACCTTTTCAACGATATTTTAATTAGTATACCACACAAAGAATAAAAAACAGCGTTTTGGAGTAAATCTCGTTATCTAGAATCWAATCATTATTACTTATCAAATCTTACCTCTCTCTTGAGGCATTAACAACATCCAGCAAGCAACCAGTAATCCATATCTGAACGGAATTCCCATCTTGACTGCATGTGAATAATAAAAACATGATAGAGTTAGCAATTCTTCATGAACCACTGTCATTTGAAAGCTTATAATCTTACGTTTGTTTTTAAGCCCTCATAGAGCTACCACACACGATAGAAAGCCAAGTCAACATTGTAGAACACTTCTGAATACCAGAAGCCTCGACGTCATAATTGTATCTTCATTATTTATTAATCAAAAATACATAATCATTTGTGTTTGAGTGAAGTTTGCCAGTYAATATAAAACTGAGTGTCTTCAGCAGCGTACAACAATATTTTTTACATTACGCATGCGTCAATTCGAGCAGTGCAATGATACATACCGTGAAACAATAATTACTAGTGAAGTCAAAAAAAAACCATGAAAAAGATATAACACTAATGCACTTTAAAATGCTCTTTATTGAATTGTGTTTCTTTACCTTTATTTGACTATCACACTTTATTAGTCAAATTTTGTTTCACAGTTTTAACGTATTCAATCCATTTCACAGTCCAGTGACTGATCGACTCTAAAAGCGTTTAAAACGTAATGGCCAAAAAGGGTTAAATGGCGTGGTAAATAGTAACGATTAGACAATAGAAAACAAAGGAATTTTTTTCTTTTTTGAGTTCAAAAATATCGAATAGAAATTATTATTAAATATATAAAAAAGAAATCAAATCTGAAAAAAATAACCGTTCATCTTATATGAATATCCGACATTTAACGTATGTTGGCTCTAACTATAAATTCCAAGACGTCTTTTATTATCCCCTACAATGTTATTCACATTGCATGTGATTTGATGCTTTTTTATCTTTTTTTATAAAGTCTTGAATAAATGGTGACACAATTCTTCAAATGACAYCCACCCATTCCTCTATACTTCTAAAATCATCAACTCATAAGTGTTGCATATTTTTTATAAGTTGTGAAAAATTATCAAGGTTTTTAAGCAGTAGATTATTTGTAACATGAGGACAAACTCACCGCTATCATTTACTCCAGTACTTTTAAATTCATTGCCGTAGGTTTCATTAGAATAACAGATTTTCAATTTGTGAATAACCTACTAAGTTCATTTCCTGTACTAGGAAATCTCTGCCACAAACACTCACCAACAGCACAACAGACGAAAACTGCTTTTGATTAACTAACAAGTTGTTTGGCATAGCTTCGTAGAAGAGTTTTAACTACTTAAAAGTAGTTTTTGCCGCGTGGTCTAAGCCAGGAATTCCTGTGATGCAGTTATGATAACATTTAGGAATTCCTGAATTGATATCAAACCCATAGCATTCAGTGTCTTGAATCGTAGAGTTGGCGGAAACATTGAGATGTAAGCCTACATGCCAAAATATTTAACAAATTCATGACAGAGAAAGAAAGAAGAGTTCGTCTTGWGGAAAAATAAAGATTTTAATGATGAGATGGTGTCAACCGCGGTAAATAAAAGCACATACCACGAGAAATTTTGTTGTTGTTTTTTTTTTACCACAGAAAAAGTCATATTCGCGTATTAGTGGACAAAAGAAAATTTATCATCTTCAATGAAAAGAACTTATCTTAATTCGTGGTAAATATAAAAGAACGAAAATAAAAAATGAAAGAAAATAAAAAAAAGAAGAGAAGAACGAGAGAAAACCAAAAACTTGCAACCGTGGAGCAAAAATCGAAAAAAAAAATCGGTAAAAACTAATAGTGCACTATAAAAAGGAAGCAATCTATTCAATGCTCTTTCGACCACATAGTATGTAGGCTGTGTACTGAAAAATCACTTCACCGCCTAATCAAAAAGCCAGCAGCATAAAATTTGAGCAAATTTAAACATTAAAACTTCCTTTAAAATGTAAAATTACAAATTTGCGAACATACTTAAGAAGATATGCAAAACATTTCAAACCCGTTTTGGTAGTGAGATGAAAAAAATAGATTTGCAAAAGTAATGAATGGATTTACCAACATGAAAGATGAAGGACTGCTCGTCGGAGTCTTTATTGCCTTAGTAAATATGTGGTTATACAATGAACTGATTTCTAGTGAATTTCTGACAAATCCTTGAAAACAATCGCAAAGATTTACTGACGATTCTTCGCATATYTTGCAGTTAAGTTTCTATCAGCGATTAGTAATCAAGTCCAGTATCCAATCAGAATGAAAAATGAGAGTCAGWCTCTGACTCAGTGCGATTTGACGAGAGGGATTTCAAGCAAGGGACCCCCACCACACCCTTTCCATTTAACACAGTCGCGACGTGCTTTGTGCCTCTGGCCGGATTTCCACTACATATTGAAAAGATTGTCTTACCGACTCTCTACCTTGCTAGGACYTAGTTCTATATGGATGTTTAAAACAATTTCTTAATTGTTAAACTATGAACTCTSTAAACCTAAATGAATTAAAGCATAGTTTTGATTAATTCTTGTGCCGGGCAACTCATAGCATCACGATTTGAAAATGAMTTATAGAAAAACGAATTATTTGTTTTTTTGTTAATGTTTCAAATTTTCTCAGATTTTGGCTTTCTCAAATAGGGCTTGAGGACTTAAAATCAGGGGTAATTATGTGTTGAAAAAAAGGTCAAATTTTCAATATAAGCCAACCTAATCTTCGGATTATCTCCTTACTTGGAGGAGTAGAAATAATCAAGCACTGAAATTATTAGTCAAATTAACAGTTTCTTGTCTTAGTTATTACACATAAATCAGTTAAGTAAAGCATGGTTAAGCAAGTGATAAAACGCAATTTAGCGATATTAAGCTGGTGCTAATCAAAAAAAGCAGCGAAGGKAAAATTTAAAACTCACACATGCGGAACTAATTAMCAAAGCTAAAACCAACACAGTCGCGAAACCATACAGACATTAGTGCACGAAAGCTGCAGAGATTTCTTTTGTCAATGTTTGTCAATGGAAAGGAAGAAATAAGAGAAAAATAGGAAAAAAAAAACGAAAAAAAGAAATGAAAAAGAACTAAAAAAGAAAACAAATTCCAAAAGAAGTCCGACAAATTAAATATAAAGAAACTGAGGATTTGTTTTCATTTCCTAGCGGAAATTTTTTTAAATATTTTTAAGTTATTCAGTAATTGATAGGAAAAAATWTTGTTATTAAATTAAGCAGGCAGCTCAGACAGTGTTTATGGCCTGTAATTGCAAAACAGGGTCTCGCAGTGTAGGAGTTTCTATGACAATGCTGGTAGGCATCAAGAATGCATAACCTGTTGTGATCTTACTGTCGGTACAGAAMAGTAAACAGACCAAACGAGATAAAAGCATACTGTCAATTCCTTTCAAAACAACAAGATTTTTTCTCTTTAAATAAAAYCTTAAGGAGTAGTTTGAAATTTTAAATGGCATGACTTTAATAGGCACTCTCGATAGAAACACCAGGTGCCAAAAAAATAAAAGATAAAAAATAAAAAAAAGCCCCAAAGATTAGAACTGCAAAAACGAGTGAAAGTGAGATAAGCCAGTTCTCATTGGTGGTAATGGAAGAGATTTAAGATAAGTTATATGATAGCTTTTTGATTGAATATATCCGCTAAGTTGGAGCTACTCTCTCCTGCGGGGTTTCCATAAACTAATGTGACTCAAAGTTTTTGAGATGTTAACAAAGAAAGTACTGTAGCACCCTAGTGGGCAGTATGGAGGTAGTAATTTTATTTTGGTCCAAACAGCACTGACGTAGTTGTAATAAATTAAGCATTGTGTATTTCTAAGATCTTTTACGAATAGAACAATTGCCATAAACTGATGTCTATACATTCTTTGGAACTTTGGACTCGCTTTCATCAGTGGCTTTGAGAGATTAATGAAACTTAAAATTGGTATCGGCCTCTGGATCTCGTTTTTTCTTATGTTATTACCAAAAAAATACTAAATAAATACTCATTTTTAGCGTATGGTGAAATGAAAACGATTTAGAGAAGCGGAGCCAGCTGGTGATTCCGGGGGGTGCGCTCTCCATCATGATACATTGTATCCTTCAATACTTTCCTTCGTTTTTTTGTCTCCTGGTTGTTTTTGTTGAGTGCAACCCCACCTGAGTGAAGCTGCAACCCCCACTGATGAAAGCCGTGGATGTCTATATAGTAATCAACTAAGCGATGATCGGTTGAAATAAAATTCACCCCATCTGAAAACGCAGGATTTCAAGTAATTACCAAACTACAGGATGGATAGGCTGATAGTTTACAGAGAATTTATTCTGTTAGTTAATTCACTGTATGGAGTATATATTGAATTGTACACCACTAGCCCGATGATGGTTTTGTAATTAATAGACCGAAATATTGATCTTACTGTCTGATTCTATTCGATGTTGAATAGCAACTAGGAATATGATTATATTCGGGCATTACATACATTTTTGTCATTTAATGAAGCTAAACTCTATATATCCACAAAGAGAAAAAAGGAAAAAATGAAGAAATGAATGAAACGTAATGCTAGTTTTATCAACACTGTGAGTTTGACTCGACTTTGATTGTGGAATATACAAACATAAAMTGTAAATAATCATCCTTACTGGTAAAAACTAGCTTATTATTCTAATTATTTGACTAGTATATAGATTAAACAACGATTCCCATCTATATATCAAAATTGATATAAAATCGTTTTTYTTTTCTTTACCTCCTCTCCTGCCAAAAACAGTCTCGTGTAGATGTTTCATCGGTTTTCAATCAAAAAAAGTAAGAATTGCGCTCCCCAACTCCTGCTCTACTAGTACGTGGTGACTCAATATTGGTTGTGCACTTGAGTGATTTGTTGATATGACGATTTAACCACCCAATTTAAGGGAATTTCATTTGCATTTGTAAGTTTTTTTAAGCCACAATCTATGACATGATCAACATCCTGCTTTAATAAAGAAGACTTTTTTTCTTTCAAGCTCATAAAATGTTAGCGCGAGCCTAAAGGCAAAAGTAAATCCAAGGTGTTTTTCAAATAAAAAATAGTGTGTAATTCTAAATAAGTGGTATATTTCGATGAATTAAATCAGTTAATTACAGTTATTTTAGCCAGATAAATGATTAAAAAAGTTTGGATCATTAATATATCTATGGTTAAGTTGCATAAACATTGTTGCGATTTTGAAACGTTTTGAGGCATCAATTATGCTAGCTTTCAAGACATCACTATTATCCAAATTCGTCATAGTAGTATGTCATTATCATAGCTAACCATCATTAATTATACCCTCTGGCAATTACCTATATTCGTGTCATAATCAACAATCAGCGAATCAAAATATGCTTCAGTCAAAAGAAAAGCGGATCATCCACTGACCTTGGAACGTTTGATTCTCTGTCTGACTGAAAAAGCTTCTTGCTTATAATCATCACTATCAGTATATCCTGCATCATTAATCAACGTTAATGATATCAATATTATGTACTATCGGATGCCTRCGGAACTATGGTCTATGCAAGTTAGACTTTGCTCGCATCGGAAACTAACYAGCGAAAATAGTCGAAATCAAAAACGTCGAAAAAAATGTTCAAATTAAAACTATTTATTTCGGTCGACACTAAAACTACAGTTCAGTATCATGAACTATATACTCCATCTCGAAGTCCATTCGATCGACCGAATGGTCTAATTTATTAGCGATCACTCATGAATTTTATCATTATAAATGTTAATTAATAATGGATTAAAATGAAAAAAGTCATCGATCTCATTTTTTTAGTGAATCCTCACACCATTGTTCATCATCATCAACAGCAATGATGCCTAAATCTTCTTTAGCGATGGCATTACGATATACGTTATCCGCCTGTTATCGCCACTACAACATCTGCCGGTATCATTACAAGCTCTTTACATCTCATTTATTCAGCATCTGTTACAGGATATACACTTATTCCAATTACGATGCTCGCTCCATAAAGATTGAAGCTTAACCCAGAAAGCATCAATCATGAGATATACCTTCTTCTTCATGCGCTAGTTTTATACTCAAATCAGTTTAACTCAAATCTACCAGAATACAATTGCAGAACCAATCTCATGCGCATTTTGAACTCGCTTCTGTTATCACGTGCTACGATTAAAACTACAATTACGTAATGTGWTGCCTCTAGCCTCCTCCACAGCCATCACTAAACTACAGTCGCGGGCTTCCTATCCTTGGAGCCAGAAGGGGGAGAATGGGAACGACGAAGAAGATCGTTACAAAGGAAGACCAAAGGAGAAAAAAAAAATCGCCTGGGGAGGAGTCTTGTGCGGTAAGGTCTATTTAAGGACGCTGATATCTCAACACAGTTTAAAGCCACTTCTTCGCTCCTCCCCTAAAACAATGTAGTGGTCCCCTAACGAGAGTCAAACAATGAATCGGCAGGAAGAACGGTTAAAGAAATAGAAGAAAAGTGCCTTGAATATCCCTTGAATATACAATTTTGATTAATTCGCGACAACGTTTTTGTCCCCGGTTGCAGATGCGGTCTCACATTTATGTCTTTTATACAATACTTATACCCGCTTATAAGAACCCATTTCTTCAAATTTAGCCTAAACGCGTTCTTATGTGAATGGTGCTTAGTGGAATTTTAGGCTACACAGGTTCTTAAATAYASTGAGGTTCTTATTTTTCCCTAATGTAATTAAAATTGGTTTACAAGGTTTTCAAACATTATTCATAACAAATTTAGAAGTGTATACATGTTCAAGTTCACTACAGTTTGAGTATGTTTTTTTTACATGAAGATTTTTGACGTTAATTTCTATATAAGAAGCTTTCTATAAGAACCTGTTTCAAATTTTAGGGTAAATAGGTTCTTGTATAAATGGGCTACATTGATATTTTTAGGCTAACAGGTTCTTAAACTGCAGGTTTTTATAAGCGGGTAAGTACTGTATTTCAAAGTGACAAACTTAATTGAAATAAGTGCGAAGTCTTAGAAAGCCAKGTATGGTTATTAAAGAGAGTGCATCACTTAAAACAGGCTTAAAATAGACGTGAGTACTGATCAGATGGCAATATATTCACTAATCAAAGACAAGCTACGGCAACTGTCGTTTCCATTAAATGAAATCCTCTACGATCAACGTACGATGGTTTGTTTTGTTTGTTCGTTTATTTAAGCAGATTAAGTGAATATCAASCGYCAATCTAACAAAACCCATAGTAACCTTCGGTCGTGCAGTGCAGCATCCATTTTCAACAACAACAATCCATTGATTGTAGAGCATCACTTGGTACCCTGAATAGCGGATATAATGCTTTGTCGCTTTTGTTAAAAACGAATTATGTTCTCTTTAAATGATATTAATGCCAAAATKATTGCTTTAATGTATTTGTTAGTAACAGATATTAAATCCATTGCTTCCCCATTTCCCCMMAAAACAATATTGATTGTAATCAATGTAAAAAAATGCAGACCACCATAAGCTAACAAGGGCAGCACTGAATCGGAAACAGGAAAGGAGATATTTAGGCTTTATCRCGACAGCAGTTGTCCACGATTAACGTGAACCACCGTGCTACCGCCGTCATTATCATCGCAACCACATCGTCTTTATGATTCAGTTAACATCAAAAGTATCAACTGAATTACCACAAAGATTTGACTTCTACTAGTTAAACGCCTSTTAAACCTGTCTTTCGTCTACAAAGCTGATATAAATGACCAAGAACATCATTTTAAWACTGCTGATCTTCACAGGACTAAAAGACAGACCTTAGGAAACGGATGTTCTTATACGTTTATCAAATAATTAGTCACCTTGGATTGCTTTTTTTCTTCAGAAATCCCGTTCTTCCTGTTACTAAGTTGTTATATCTCCAAATATCCCCAAGCTAGCACCTTCACGTTCATATATACTAATTATTTCTRCCAATGAATTAACAGTGAGATGTATTGAAGACAAGTAGTGCCACAAGCTTAGCAGGGTGGCTGGACCCACCACAGACATGCAGATTTCACACCAAAGTCTACCCTTGGAAGCCACTTTATTTGAATAATAACAGAATGGTATCCAATACTATTCCTTTTGTTTATAGCACCAAAGAATATTRTAATTCAAGGGCAATTTTGATAGCTAATCAAATGAACTAGACGCAGTCGATTCTCGTATAGAAAGAACACAATGTRTAAGGAATGATGTTCGAGATGGTAGACAAACATTTTTTTGGAAATTAAAATATTTTTGGACTATTTTCATAACAATGCGCTCTTTGAATAGAATTAGAGAGAAATAATAAATATAGCACACACGTCATTTGTATGCTGATTGTTTGGTTTATGGTTTCATCGTTGCGGGCCAACAATAGAGAATGAACCTGTTTCCTTTTACTGTGCTTTTTAGGGGAGTGAAACTATCGACCTAAGGGCTAAAAGTACATTGATCCATCCACATAGAGTGCCGATCTACATAACGATCAATAGATAACACAACAGTAACAAAACCACGAGCAGTCCTATATTATATTATATTGCATATATACATATTATATATATATTTACCACTGTTCAATAAAAGAGACAGAACAGAATTGAGCCTTATTTCTGTGATGGCTGTAACTTAAAAATAGCCAAAACCATTAAGAATCATTTTAAAGTCATGTTTTCCTATTTCAGTGAATAGATCTATAATGTATAATTCATGAAAAAAGATTACCTTCTTGACACAAATCAATATAAAAATGCCAACATTTCAGCTCAATTGCAAAAAATGGTAAATTACTACGAGTCTAAAATGCCCCTTACGAGTTCTAACAGTACTCGCTTGACGATTAATGTCACTATTAAAAGAGAAGATTTTTCTCGAACAGATTCGACCCAGCATGATGAAATTTTAAATTTTAATGGTGGATTTGATGAAGATATTAATCGCTTCTAYCATCGATGAATTGAGTCATACTCTTCAAAGGACAGATTCAACCCATAAAAGATATTTTAAACCTCCTTTTCTGTAATGAAATTGGCTTTTTTATAAGAAGTGACTTTAAGACCATTAACTGACAAAGAAATGGTTGCGCCCATACTTAAAATACGCCTAGATCTAATGTTAATTCGACTTAGAAAAAAAGTGTGACATTGTACTCGCGTTGAACAAAAAAGGTTTTTGGTATTGTTGCAAGCTATGTTAAAATTTCTATACAGTTACAACATATAGTCAGCGAGACTGTGACTGATCTTTTTGCTTCAATACAATCCCGAGCGTCGACACATTTCCCAGAAATTTGCAATGAAAATTGGCGACAACCACTTAGATGTCATTTTTTCTCACTTAGCATAGAAGGTCGGTAATTCCTGTTTGCAATGTCAAACCTCTACTGCTTAACACCGATGCGATCATCAAAGGAGAGATCACTTCGATATCAAATGAAAATGTTCGCAGGTTAACTAAGCAAAAATGAGATAGGGAAAAACGAAAACCCGCCATGTGTSATTAAATGGTGTTGAAATACCCGCGGCTTCGGCATGTAAAGCGCTCTATTATGAATGGGAATTCAGAATCAATACTTTTCGAGCTACTTACCATCGAAAGCGTCCTCGATGTTGATCGATATTAAAACAAGTCAAAGGCGAAAAAAATCTTGATTAGCATGGATTGCGTCTTCATTGGCGTGTCCTCGAGTGGTTCGCGGGCTCATTAAAGGCCGCTTCTTGGGAGCTCTTATCTAATTACTTTAAGTAAAAAGATTGAGTCCTTTATTGGTTTTGATTTTGATGGCCGCGCATTAGGTAAATCCATCTAGCGACAAGACATCGCGGTTATACCGCGTAGATGGATTAAAGCTTGTGCTTAAGACCTTTCTAAAACGGACTGATAACATTTAATGTCATTCAGTAACATTCACTATTCTATTCAAAGCCAGAATTCAATAAATATTTATTTACACTCGCTGATGGCCCAAACAAGTTTTGAATTATTATTTTTCACTTGTTGAGAGATACAAGTACGTTATCTGAAAATATCAAGCGTTCTTTTTCACACAAAAGTTGTAGAAACAGTAAAGATGGTTTTTGTTTGACGCTGCGGATATTGATTCCATTCATGAGATGTGTGCTTAACTGTGTTTAGCAGTCACTGTGATTTAAAAAGCCGCCAAATATGTACACAAAAAAACCGTTTATTATTTCACCACACTAATCAAACCCTGTCGTGCCTGAAGGAAATATTTTTCGCTTTGTTTACTTCGGTTCTTTCAAGATTGATTCTATTTGCACCTCTTAGAAAGCTGCCACTAAACACTATCTCTAAATCTCGTGGGTGGATTCCAAAAAGAATTAATTGGAATTTTGTCCATGGTAAACTAAAGATTTCAAAGGAATCTTTACCGAGGAAGGATATTATCTAAAGAGGAAGTTTTGTAGATTGAGTCTAGCACGGTCTAGAATGCTCATTAGCTTAACTTGAAGTGAAATGGCATGMCATAGCGGGTACGAAACAGGTTGTAGAATTGATAAAATGTTTYAACGGTAATTGATGCGGTTTCGAGCTTTAAATCAAGATTTATCTACTATGTTAGTGTGGTAAAGTGTATTTAATTAGCTCTTGTTAAARCGATTCCTAAATCATTAGAGAAGGAGTACTTCTAGCCGAGAGTGGCAAGCAGAGTTGAACCCCATCGAGGTAGTTTTCTGCGAGTGGTGGGATTTCCGCTACAAGATAGAGACAGGAATATCGCATGGTGCATTTATAGACCTCTCTCTAYTGTTATTAAATACAATAACTGATCTTTCGTTGTTCTTTTTTCCCTTTTTTTTTCAGAGTCAGAGAGCTAACGATTTGAATTATTAGYGATGACATGTTGATAAGCTGACTGGCTGTCTCCACTTGAGATCCCATCTAAACAACAGCTACTAAAACAATACATTTTAACTTTATCTTCGTATTCTTTGGACTTTTGTTGAGCTAATAGCCCTAGTTATACTCAGATAAGAAAACACAAAGCTTATGAAGAAAACTGGAAACCATACATGCCAAAACAGTGAAAAATGATGACAGAACAGCGTGGAATTAAAGGGTTATTAAAGATGGGATTAGTATTGCAGGTGTTTTTTCACAGGACCAAGATRTCTAATCCAGTGACGAACTCAACTAATATGAGTTTTGAGAATGGTTTTAACTCGTCTTGGGAGCTATAAATACTTCTTCCACTGGCACAGCAATGACTTAATCATGTTGCCGCGGGGAGTAATCAGTACCTTTGAGTCACCGACTCGCTGCAATCATTTCAGTGCGGCGGATGAGCTCGAAACTCAAGGAATGAATTTTCACACAGTAAAAATCAATAAGCCGATATTCAATTTCTTTATGTTCGACATATAATTTGATGCAAATGCTAGGTGTTCACGACATAGTCATTAACAGAAAGTACAGGTTCTGTAGTAAGTACAGTTTTATGAATGTATAGGCTTCTTATCATACAGCTCTTGCGGTATAGAGCTCTAATCATCTCTAAACATTTCTAATCCACTTACAAAGATTTGTTAATAAAACCACTAAAAAAGGTTTATATATTCGCTCACTCCCTGATGTCAACATCGAGAATCATTTTTCCCAGGGGAAAAACAAAAGAGATGTCCCATTGGGGCCACTCATTTAAATGAAAACTGAGTTTCCAAAAAAAAAAAAAAAAAAAGTACCTCATCCAAACTAACTTGCCACGTGGTTCACTTGCTTTTTAATAGAAGCGCTTTCGTGACTTGTCAACCTTCTCTAGTATGACGGGACGCTCGACTAAATAGCCATTTAAACTCCGATAATTTACAAACCATAAATTTTACAAAGCRTCTAAGTGTTGACAGGACCACGAAGCTTTAAGCGTTTGACGAATAAATTTGCCATAAATCAAGCCTTGAAGGATGCGTGTGTACCTAAGAAGCTACAATTAAGAGCTTAAAGTCGTTGGATGTTCTTGTGCATATGTGCTATATTATRTGCATATTTATGTTTTTTAGTTAATTAAAGTATGTATCTAAATGATCTTTCTGCTATTAATAAACATTTCAATACACAAGATTAACAGCGACGTTCTCTCTTCTTCTGACCTTAGCATGCTTACTTGAATATTGAGATTGTTCACGGAAGTTTCATAACGAAATAAAGAAGCAGTGCGTTCGCTAGTCACGTGATCGGCGCCCTATAGCCCTTTTCGTCGTTAGAAAACAAGTATGGTTTTGYACCAAAGCGAGGCAGAAACTATTAACAACCCAACATTTGCCYTTTTTGTACTTKTTAATCTTTTTGCAATGTCAGGAAAAYAATTTTTGTTGGTAAAAAAGTCATGCTTTGGACATGAYTTTGAACCCTTGTTCGACCCCCCTTGTTCATTTGAGGGATGTGTCAATCATGTTGCCCGCTTYGTTTTTAACCGCGAAAAATGTCCATTGGATGCATTTCCCGCTAGCTCACGTTCACCGCGCTGTTCATCCAACATGGCGGTGTTGGCTTGGATCCTAGACTTATTCTGAGCCTTCTTGGTTACTTATGTAGTTGCAAACTAAGAATTAGAATCAAATTTAATACAAGCGAAGGAAACAAAGATTGCGTGTGCGAGAGTATCGTGGGCGCTTAAAATGAACGCAGCCCGTCAAGCTTGACTTTTCTCTGTTTTGAACATCCCAGTGGGTATTTTGCCATCCAGTATGAGGGATTTAGCAACATGYGAAAGCCTATTCGCGACAACTTGTGCACCATCCAGGCTCACTCGTATACCACTTGGGATAAACTGAAACTGAAACTGAAACTGTTTTATTGCTCTTTTTTGCTTTTAACTTAACAGAAAAAAGGTGCTTGTAATAAAAAGATAAATAAGTATAGAGAATATGCAAATTTATGTAAAAGAACGAGAGCCAGAGGGCTAAATTAACTRATAAGTTTTCTAGTTAGCCCCCTGACATTTAGTGTTACATTGGTAGTTACAGGCAAGGAGAAAAACAATAAAACATAAGGAAAAAAAGAATATACAATTAATTACTTACACAATAGTTACTTACAATAGTTACTTACAAAAGTTACTTACACAAATAGTATAAAATAAAGTACGAACAAGGTAGACAATAGTTTGAAATGATGTGGTAGGTTAAGGAGACAATATGAGTTTAATTTAGGGAGATTAAAGAGGAATATATAATTTTAAATATATATAGTAATTTTTGTTGTAGGAATAAAGCGAAACAGTTATAGGTACTGAGTGGACAATAAGTGTTCTTTCAATTTTTTCTTAAAGGAAGACGGATTTTGACATTTAAGATGTACTGGTAGTTCACTCCAGAGATCACAAGCCATAAAGGATATAGTTTGTTTGCCTATATTTGTTCTCGCTTTTCCTTTATAAAAATTTTGTTTGCTTGCATATCTTGTATTATATCTATGAACATTGCTGGCGTATTCAAATATGTGATTAAATATGTTTGGTAAAGCCCCACAATGCCATAGATGCGTAAATTGGAAAATATGCAGGCGATATATATTGTCAACATTTAAGATATTTAGAATATTTAGCAAAGGTTTTGCACTTTCTGTTTCTTTTCCATAGGAATTAGCAAAGAAAATCAATCTGATAACATGATTTTGTTTATCTGAATTTTTTTAAGATGCGTTTTATAAGTGCTACCCCATGCTATTATTGCGTATGAGAGGTASGGATAAATCAAATTGTAGTATAATTGCCTTAGCTGTTTTAAGGATAGATAGTGCCTTAGCTTGGAAATTATGCCAGTGTTACGAGATAACCTAGAGCATATAAACGCTATATGACATTTCCAATTCAGAGCATCATCTATCATAATACCTAAGTATTTAATTTGACTTTTCMTTTCCAAAGGGTGCGAAGAGTTGCCRTTTTTGATTTTAATATTGATAACAGCATCCCTTTTTTGMGGAGATTTRACTATCATGAAATTAGTTTTAGTCATATTTATGGATAATTTATTTGTGTCACACCAGTCCTTAACCTTGACTAGCTCAGTGTTCATGATACTTTCTAGAGTTTTAAGATTTTTCTCAGAAGCAAAAACATTAGTATCGTCCGCAAATATTTTGAAATTCAACTTTTTAGAACAGTTTGGTAGATCATTGATATAGATGAGAAACAACAGGGGTCCTAAAGTACTTCCCTGGGGAATACCGCAGGTAATTGTTTCTTTGTCGGATTCGATACCGTCTATTGTTACATATTGTTTTCTGTTTGAGAGATAGCTATGGAACCAAGTTAGGGGTAGGCCCCGAATTCCATAAGCTTGCAGTTTGTCAATAAGAATTTGATGATTTACGGTGTCAAAAGCTTTCGAAAAGTCTAGAAATACGCCACAAGTATATAAACTGTTATCAATAGCTTTGCGCAAATTTTCTGTGATTTCAGCAATAGCTTGAGCAGTAGAGTGCCCTTTACGGAACCCAAATTGAARTTCAAACAGTATATTATGTTTGTCGATATAGTTAGCAAGTTGTTTGTAGATTATCTTTTCAAAATATGTCAATGATGCGCGTGCGCGCACATGTCAGTAGTCAAAAATGATTTGTAGGGCACTAATAAAAATGTGATATTGTTAATCTACATTTCATTTGAAACCATTTATTTTGTAATCACCTTACACTACGCAGTTTAGGAGATATTACTATGAGAACACACCGAAAATCAAATACTTGTGAGTAATGAAGCTCCGCGGTACACAGCAAACTATTAAGCTCAGGGTTTTATTTTAGGCAGAGTGATATTATTTCCGTCCTGCAGTGTAATAAGTGGAATTAATAGATTTTGATATGAGCGTCGACCCAGGAGATTTTGACATTTTATCCAGGATTTCCGGACTTTTCGTACCATTCGAAATAGGTAAATTGTACAATGGACCAACTTTGTGTTTCCGCGTTTTTAAGTCCTTAGATTATAGTTCTGCCGACATGGCTCAAGAGTTGCTGCACTGTTGGACTATTTCAAACACCGAAACGTCAGTGTTTAACCCGAGGTGGATAATCATCGAAGATGATATTCCTGACCCCTAAGGAAAAAAAATCGCAGGCAAAATTACGACAACTTTCCAGTTTCTATTTTATCGTGCCATCTTTTGCCCAAAATTGTACTTAAAGAAAACTGAGGCAAAAGTAAATTGTATCTTGTGAAATTTAACAGAAAGTCGAACCAACCGGAACCAGCTTTCATGAGAAAAATTATTCCAATTAAGGTTAGAGGGAAAAACTTAATCCATAGACAAAAATAGTACAAGATGGTACTAAATTATGCTATTTAGTACTTTGTTTTCAATTGATTAGCTAATCAACACTGTTTAGTAAGTAATGAATGACTTACCAATAAGAGTCCTAAAATCACAAAGCAAAATATTTTGAAGATATTGATACAATTTCTTAGAAATTTTGCCAAAAAAAGTTGGAATAAATGAAGTTACTTACTCCATACCTTTGTCCTTTCTTTTTTTGTGTCAAAAGTTTCCCTGTTTTGGGATGACTCCATATGAATTTCTCTGAGAAATATTGAATAAGGATGCATGCATCAGGAGTTTCGGAGAACAATACATCCGCCATCTTGAAAAGTGGAACTAGATTCGCTAAATTATAACTGCTAAAGGAATTAGAAGCTTCTAAGCTAATGTCACGTTAATAAAATACTACGATATAATGATAGATTAGTGGACTTCACTTAGCAACTACGAAATGTGTTCTAAGGCACAACATAGTGATTCGGGTCTCACCTTTCAAGATGGCGGACGCATTGTTCTCAACTTGGTACTATAAGTCATATATTTGAATTATGCGGCGTTTTAAAATTATAGCTTTTCTGGTAAGTAGTATTGTAAGCTAAGCAATTTTTTGTTTTCGGATTTTGTTCGTCCTTCACAGGCAACTCTATGTATAACTACTTTTTATCGACGAACGTGCGGTCTTCCTATGGAGAGACGCGGAGAGTTCGTTCCCAGACTTCCGATGGAATTTTAGAGAGAATTGCCTGCGGAAGAGCTTTTAAAAGTGCGTCAGCCAAGAAAATCGAAAACATCGAAAAAAATGTTGAGCCATGGGCGTCCTTGGTATAAACGGTAACATATGAAAAAACATGTTTTTGTTGTTTTTGTTGTTGTTTTTTCAAAATGAAAATAAAAATCAACCTTAAAATAATAATAATAATAATAATAATAATAAAACAGATCACAAAATATATTTACATCACATTTTAATTATAAACATAAAATTTAAACTACATTAAATGAAAAATTTTATAAACTCACTTAAACAGTTGTTTTTTTACATATGTTTTTTTTTTCTTTCAAGCCGGTGTCTCGAAGCTCCGTCCACAATGTTGTCATCCAAGATGGCGGCTACATACAATTATCAAAGATCGACTAAATTGAGTATTTTTCGAAARCTTGAATCTCGACTTCCTTTAAATTTGCTAAAATATACTGTTATAAGTCTAGTCATTTAGTCAATAAACTTCTCATTCTTATAAAAATGCGGGACCACGATGAAATATTCTGCGAACAGTGAAGACGTGGGTAGCTTCCATTGAAAGTTCTCGTTATAATCATGAGATTCAAAAGATAAAAGACCGACGGCCATGTTTGAGGGRTGAATAATAGCTACTACTGAGAAATAATGCACACTCTAAATGGCCCATGGGATAGGAAAGAGCTAGACAATAAAACTTTTTACGTCATAAAGTAAAGTCCAAAAACCCGTGAAACAGGTGTAACACTAATAAACCTTAGGGCGCTTTCCATTTGTCAGAACTGGCTAGCCAGACCCAGAGAAAATATATTATATATCATTCCTATTTCGTCGGGAAATTCAAATTTTCAAATTCTATCCATTATTCTATAGAAAACCTCGAAATGACAGAAAAATGTTGACAAAAAGCATAATATGCCTCTAAATAGAGCGGACTGGCAGGCCAGTTCTACCTAAATGGAAAGCACCCTTAGTACGCTCTGATTGTATTGCTTTCTTCTTGTGTCTACTTGACTACCCGACTTTAATTGAATTTTTCAAGGTTAAGTTTTAAGGACTATACTTTCAAATCAACAAAGACTGGATAACCATGCGTGTATTTGAGGATGATAAAGTATGCACTTTGGGTCCTAACGTTCTTGATTTCACGATAAAACCACGGCATCCACCATTGCTGACATGCACGTAGAGCTAAAACTGGTTTAAGATCTAAGAGAGCCTTTCATAGTAATGATACTTCAGCGAGTAACTTAAGGCTCCAACTGCTCCATCCAATTTCCCTTTGTTTAGGCCACATTTGGAGCCTACTGACAGGTCATGTGATCTGAACTCAAAGTTGAACGACTTGCATTTGTCTGTCACGAGACACTCACGTGCACATTGTTTTACGTCATCAACTAGTTGCCATCGTAAAAGGTTATTCTTGAGGAAGGAGTACTCTCGTTCCAACGCAAATCTACCATCACCGGGCAATGCGTCTACAAAGAGAGATTGATYTTTATTATATGACAAGGCTTGCGAATGCGCAAATTCAATGTATTATCAAAGTTGTCCCTACATATAACGATTATTACAAATATGAAAATTTCCAAGCACCATTGATCGAATGTTAATATATRTACATATTTTAAGAGCGTTATTGATATAAAACCTGGGCTTCCTGTGGTATGATCTCTTCAGTCCCTCGAGCTTACCTCTGTGCTTACTACACAAAATATGACAGCTTTTCAAGCCACAGCTATGATAATACCACTTCCCATTGATGTCTTTAACTGCGCACTCGTAACCAGTCCCCAGATTGCTGGCCGTGAGACCCCCAGCAAGGGTAGGCATGCTTGAATTCCAGGAGGTCAAAACCCCGCCGTAAGAAACACTTGTGTCCTTGAATACAATACAATCTGTATCGTTCAGTTGTTTGTTTAAATCAAGAGTGAGTAGCAAGCGATCTAGGGTTAAAAAGCTGTTTTGTGTCTTTGCGAGGAAAATGGACCCAAGTTGTTTTGTGCAGTATTTATCGGCGTGCACGTAAGAAGTGATATTCGAAGCGAGCTGAAAACACGACTTCTTAGTAGAATGCCATCCCATATCACAACCTATTTAACAAAGGCATTAATTATTCAAGTTACTGCAATTTTCGTAAATATGATWACCGCCATTTGCCGGGTGGTCGCGTAAGTAAAAACTGCGAACTTCCCCGAACGGCCGCTGAAGTAAGTCATGTCAGAAGAATAACTTACTTTGATCAGCGGTGTTCAAAAACTTGTACACAAAATTCGCTCCTTTCTTGCCAACACCGTTGACGCATGCGTCACTTGAGCCATCGCGGGCGTATGTCAAGTCAGCGTTCTTTCCCGACCAACATTCGCCGTAGTGTTGAAGACCAAAATACCTAGAAAATTGAACCAACAAAACAATTTATGAATGATCTAAAACGACAACATTATCAAAATGAATGACAATCAGACTGCATTCAAATATCAGGAAGTTTTATAAAAAATAAAAAATAAAAGCATGGACTTCAATAATTACTTCTACCAAATCTAAATCCCCAATCAAATAAACAGTTCACCTCAGAATGATTGTTCGTTGCACAAACTTATGCTAAGCTTTTGTGTCAAGTCCGAACATATTTTGTGTCTTAAAATGGGACAAAAAAATAATTGTGATGCGAAAACTACGTCATATTTGAATTTGAAGCCTATGCCTGACCCATGCCTATTTAGTTCTGGGGCTAAACGTCAGGCAGTCGAAAAATCTCAAAGTGCCGTGCTTGTGTTATACAAACTTGTCGAACAGTATTATTTTGGTCTTTATCAGTTGCATTTCTCTTGTTGTATTAATTGAAATTACTGTTGTTCCGACGATTTTTTAAGAAAATAATTAGGCTGCCTGACGTTTAGACACTCCGTTTTAAGATACAAAAAGAATGGTATTTATTTTTTTTAATCTAAATTTAATTTTTTTAGCAACTTTGAGCACCTCTTGGAGTGATTGTGACTCTCTTTCCGAGTTGAATGGAGTAAAAACTACTCGGATTGTAGAGTTTTAACTCTCTTTAAAGTTTTTCCACCCGGTGGAGTTATTTAACTCCATTGGTGGAGTTATTTCAATATCTTGAAAATAACAGTTTAGCATAGGACTACCTCTTTTTTTTAAATTCTCCAGGGAAAAAATGATTTCGGCTAAACTACCAACGGGAATTYTATCTMATTGTAACAKGGCCTAAATAAATGCATATAATCATTGATATACCTGTGATCTTCACTCTGTGCAAGCTTGGAACAATTGTGTATGACATCATCTATGGTATTCCACGTCATAGAATAATAATAGTTTCCAAGGAGATCGGGCAGAGGACGTGTTGTGTTGTTATTGTCGGCATAGCAACCAACTCTGACGTATGTCGTTGAAAGTTCTGAAAAATTGTAAGAATTGTTTACGTAATTTTCGCTTCCTAAACACGAATTATTGATTATTGCTATTTGTTTTCATRTAAAMGTTTTTGATGTAAGGTGAAAAGCTAGAACACTCAAGTCAATTTCCTCTCAAACCTGAGTATTTTTCGCTTAATTTGTTTTCGATAAGACCAGTCCAAACTTCAAAATAAATTGACCTTAGTTTTAATTTCGATTTGTTTTCCTTTTYCGTTGACATAATGTTTTTGTATTTCCTATTATTGACATTGCSAAGTCTCGTTATTTGTAAAAGAACTCGACCACTCATTGGGAAAAAGTCAAATTGAAAAAAAAAAAAAATCCTCGAGCTATTTTTAATTTAAAAATAGAAAAGTACTACTTGTTCATGTTAAGGTTTTTGATTGCGTATATAAATTTGTTCAACCTGAATCGAAACAGTCCGCAATTTTCTTCGACGACACATTTATCATTTTTTCAGCAATTTGTTCTAGCCAAACAAGCCATCAATATTTTATCTTTRTAGAATTGAAAGCATTTAGCATATTCAAGTTTGAAATAAGGAAAGGCAAACTTCAATCAAAAGTATTTTGAAAGCAAGCAGTACGCCAGTAGTASCTCTTCTCTTGTTTTGAGTTGTCATAGGGACGGCTTTCTACTGAAATAGTACGCTATTCAAATTGTTTCAGCTGTCACACTCACCAGCTCAATTCTCATTGTAGCGCAAAATAGCAAAAAAAAAAAAACCCTTGGCTTCCTTAAATTGTCGGATATTGGTCAATTGATTCCATTGCCTCTTAGAAGCGCTAACAGCAAGATGTCTTACACACAATGCCATACAACTCTTGAATCAATACTTCATTCTTAAGAATGGATGCCCTTTTAAATTATCACTCGAAACATGTCATCCTAGAACCATTTTCCGCGTTGATGGGGTTATAAGGGAGCAACACTACTTTTTAGTGCAGGGTGACTCTTTGAAATGGTCATTATTTACCTGCGAAATATCTTTTTAGAATTCTTATAGGAATGAGCTCAAAATGAAAAAATGTACATGTAATTTATTTTGGGATTTGAAGCTAAGTTGAAGGAACGTTTCCTTTGAAAACGACCTCGAGGTAAACWGGCTCCGCTTAAAAGAGCAATTACTCAAATTTACCGAAATTTGGTCCTATTTTCCCAACAGTATGTTATTTTTCTAGGAAAAGATACAATTTAAGCTATAGAAACAGCGGAGGGTCACGAAATAACAAACTGCACACAATCGATCATCTTAACTCGTCTGCAACGATTGAAAATTGCTCTCGTTTTTTGGTTAGTTTCTGTGTAGTTTTTTGAAAATAAATATAGAAAACAGGTTTACAATTCACCCGTGTCTGTTTGTTCAGATCAGTTGCCAGTCTACTTCAATAAAAAACGAGGTACTAAACTCAAATAGGAGTTGAAAGAAAAAAAACTGAAAGAAAAAAAGACTTACCAAACAAYTTTACTTTGCCAACTGCCAAAAGCACGAGAAGAAATGAACAGAACATATCGCATGAAAACAGTCTTTAGCGAGTACAGCGTTGTTGTCCTTTTCCTGAGGGCAAACTCGGTGAGAGATCTGCTGTATCCACAAAATCACATCTGTCAAATCCTCTCCGATAAAATATGCAAATGAAATGAGAACTTCCAGTAAACGCTTCACTTTTCTGATGRGTATCTCAAAGCATACTCTGTASACCAAACGACGCAATAAACGAAAACGAAAAAAAATWAAATTAAAAACTGTGTATACGTAGTTCAAAGTTAAGTGCAGAATRCACGYACAGACGGGCGTTTGCTGGCCATGTGAGCATAATATAATGCCGCCAAATTAACTGATGTTACCTTGGCAACCCATGGCAAATATTGCAAGAAACTAKCAAGCGTTCGTCGGAGAGTTTGATCTCATGGAGTGTAAAGCTTCAGCCATTAAAAATAAACATGGTGTGTGATCAGGRGAAAAACTAGATCGGAAGGGAGGGAAGCTTAAAAAAAACTTCCGAGTTCCAAAAATAGACAACAATTTAAAATCCCAAAATCCCCCCCCCCCCCAAAAAAAAAAAATAATAATAATAATAAATAACAATAATAATGATGATTTTGAATGAAAAACTGARGAAACAGGAAAACAATTAAAAAAACAAGGGCAAATCAGAATGATGTATAGWGGAAATACAACAAGTACAATACCACTCATTATCAGCTTACAGTATTATCATCTTTTTGTACTTTTTGACTATGGATATGATGTAAGCTTTTTGCGCTTTAAGAACATACGTTTGTGTTGTATCGATGTCAAGAAGATTGAAGGGGAGCCACACACGCACATAAAGTCTTTAGTTCCTTCGATGCAGGATTACCTAGCTATTCTTATAACTGTTGGCACTTTTTCTAACCATAGAAAGACTTTAGCATAGGTAAATCCCGAGTGTTATCAAAGTCACTGGGGGGCTTCACAGCCAGATAATAATTAAGACCATAGCTTAGAACTTCATATTTAAATTTTTGGATTAACGATAAGAAAAAAATGATAAAAAGACAGGTTGAATGGAAATTAATAATATTGCCTGTCAAAAGATTAATTAATGATTGAGAAAAAACAGACCGAAATGTAAATTGTCTGATGTGGATTATTTTTCTTTTTTTTTTCTTTCAGTAGGGATCCTCATCAGGGGTTTTTGCATGAATATTTCCATATGTTTTCCCGATAAGTTTTATACTTTTTATTCATTTTGTAATCACTTCCAAGTCACAGATTCGACAAAATCATTCACTTGGAGTGAATTTTGTAAGCAAGTCATAACATTCCTCGCAAACCGGGTATGGATCCGTTTGCAGCACTTTTTCAAGTGTCTACCACATGTCAAACTGCATTTCTAGCATTGGTCCACGTGACAATCACGTGTCAATTTCATGTCTAGCATTAGTCCACGTGACAATCACATATCAAGTTCCATATCTAGTATTGGTCCACGTGACAATCACATGTCAAGTTCCATATCTAGTATTTGTCCACGTGACTATCACATGTCAAAGTCCATATCTAGTATTTGTTCACGTGACTATAACATGTCAAAGTCCATATCTAGTATTTGTCCCCGTGACTATCACATGTCAAAGTCCATGTCTGGTAATTGTTCACGTGACTAGCACGTTGTTCGCAATTATAGACAATATACACGTGGTTGGCACGTTAAATTGTATTTCCAGTTTTTTTTATCGTGACTGGAATGTCGCATGTCATGTAATATTTCTGGAATTTGTTCACGTGACTAGTACAATAGACAACAATCACGTGACTAGCACGTTTTATTGCATTTCCATGCGATATTAATTATTGTTTACGATGCATGTCTAGTAATTGTTAACTTGACTTGCAAAGTTTGAATTCACAATAAACATTATTGGCTTTCCTTATACGTATATTGTAGTTTTGTAGTTTTTATATGGCATGTGCTTCCACATGTTGCATTTATAGAACATGTTAACATGCATTTACAGACAAAATTCACGAGACAAGCACTTTATCTTCAGTGAATTTTCAGAATCCATGCTTAATGCATAGTCAGTTCCGCATGTGACGTTGAATTTCCAGCAGTTGCTTACGTGACAAGCACATGTCAAGTTACTTTTGTACTATTTGATCACGTGACTTACGCACGGTGACATTGCATTCTTAGCTTTTTTTTTATTTGGATGCTTGCTCGTTTTTCCCGTTGGAATCCTGGTATTTGTTCACGTGACCAGCCCATGCCCCGTAAGAATTCTGGTATTGTTTACATGACTAGCACATGATATCTTGCATTTATAAACAATATTCACGTGACTGGCGCATGACATCTCGATTTATTCTTTTCGAACAAGCTTGGCTTTCCCATCAACGGTTTTCTCAACATCGATTCCAAATTGATGCAGTCTTGAGTTATCAGCAACGCCTCGTTTATCTAATGACGCAACGATTTGTTGATTTTCACTGTTGTCTTGAAGAAGGTTTCGCAAGGTAAACACCGCCCACTGACAGATATCTAGCAAGCAGACGTCAAGGATTTCAACATTATTAGCATAAGACAAGTTTGATTTTAAGGCAACACAAAACTGCTCTAAAAATTCATAGGAAAAGTTTTGTAGAAAACCTTTTATAAAATAGTAATAGATAAAAAGCTTTATATGATAGAGCACTTTCTGTACTCTTTTCAAACAATTTTAATTTACGGTATTTGTTGTTGTTTTTATGACAAAAACTTCTTTGGCAGATTTGCCATTATTCTAATCTTGACATTTGATGTTTGCACAGCGGACAAAATAAGCAGCTGGAAAAGACATCCTACTCAAATGAATAGAAAAAGCACAAGTTTATTCCATACATACGATTCAAAAAAGACTTGACCATTAAAAAAGACAAAACAGCGACCCCATGATGGTACAAGTCGACCTCGCACTTTTTCAATCCCACTAAAAAAAATCACCGTTCAAAAAATCACCGACAGCTTTTTAAATTTATTCAATAACTGAAACGTTCTGATGCAATTTCAAAAGACTTTTTTTCTGCTCGGGTAAGATTAGTGCAGTAACTGAAGGATACATGGATTGTGGTCATCAATATTGCAGTGGTCCAAAATAAGAGGAATTCCTTCTTTCTCTCTCACCTAAAACATCAATATGAACAAAATTACAAAAATAATAACAGCAACGGCAATCAAAACAAACATTTACATTGGAAATAACTCTCATAATAAAACTTAGATGTGTTGAAATTATGGTGCGAACTGCATTCAATAACTGCTCTCAGCATAATACACATGACTAAGATATAATGCGCGTTATCGTTGGCTTCTGATCGGGTTAAGCAATATGGTTTGCCGCGCGTGCGCTAAAAGGAGACAAAAGTTTTTAAACAAGAAATAGATGATGGCCGCTTGAAGAGCACTTAGCAAGAGAAGCACTCGCCACGGTTAATTCCCCGGGCTTGTTTCTGTTTATCAACGACCGTGTTTAAATAAGAGATCAGAAACACGCTCGGCAGTTTTACAATACTCCATTTTACAGCTCCAAGCGCCATCTTGAAAGGTAACCAATCCTTTGCATCCAAGCGAGACAGGAGTTGAGCCTGCAGTGATAGATACCTTTTGTTCACACCTAATAGAATAATTCATATATATCTATCATTGCAAGCTCAAATTCTGTCTTTGTTTGATGCAAAGGCTCTCAAGATGGCGCTGAGAGCGTTAAAATAGAGTATTAATAAAGCAATGGAACAAAACCAACGACAATAACAATACATAAACAGTCAACATCAAATAATGGCAACGGCACCAAAACGAAATTCATTTGTACCCAAGAACCTTTGCGATTGTTTAAAATCTTTTGTTGAAAGTTCCTTTCTGATTAGTTCTAAATATTAAAGGTGGCGATTTTTTGCATGTGAAAAAAAATTGCGCAAAGATTCGCGCGCAACGTTTCTCACTAGAAACGGTCCCATACGCAAAAAAATGACAACAGCTACCACTATGTAAGTGTACGACAAAATCATGAAGCAATAACAGCAACGATATTTTTTCTCTCTCAGTGGCATATATGAATGACAATAATCACAATTCAACGAGCATGAAAGAGAAGATTAATATAGCACAGAGTTTGAACCAATGAGTCACGTGCAAGACTATTGGTTTCAGTAGACTGTGCGATTTCCACTTGCGGAAGCTCTGGTAAGTGGACATCTCTTTATGTCGCAAAGAAACTTCCGAAGTTTTTAAACAGCCGCCATTTTGTTGATTTTCATCAATACCATGATGCAATTCGCTAAACCACACATGACGTCATTAGGCAAGGAAATGTACTCGATAGCGATATTATATTATGGTATATGCATGTTTCATAAACCTTATTTCATTTACCCGGGGTGTCCGCTCACGGGCGATTCAACAGTAGGTTGTGGATATAACTTTTACCTACGACAATCGTATGCAATCTGCCAAAGTCTTCTTTCTAACATAGCTTAACATACCACTGGACCGACTTATGGAATCACTCCACCACTGTCGTAGAGATTCAAAATTATTGTTTAATAAATCTACGCAGGAGCCTGCATCAAGTGATCCACCAAAGTTGTAGCCATGACTAAGGCATGTTGGTTGCGATGGTTGTAGGCAAAAGCTATGAAGACTAATTCGGCTTATATTATATATTCACCATGTCTTGATTATTTCTGTGTTTGTAGCACATATTTCCAATAAGTCTCACTAAATCACGTTTGAATCCATGACTTGGGCTTAGCTCTCCAGAGTCTTGACATTGTGGGGCCGAGGTGACATTGGAAAATTGCTCATGGTTGATTGGATGGTTGGTCTGGTGAAGGAGCTCTAAAAATATGATAACATAATATGAATAAATAAATAAAAAAGACGGTAAAATTGCGAAGTTTAAGATCTAAAAAATTGTTGTTTTCGTCTTAAATATAGGGTTGAAATTGAGCTTTTTAATATATACTCACTGCATGCCACAGAACGACATACCTACAGCTGTGTCCAAAAGCTGCTCACGACTTTGAAGAGTAGATGGCTTAATTGCGACTGCTGTAGCAAGTAGCTTTAGTAAACGTGTCATTAATAAGGCGTCCATCTTGGATTAATAGAAAAGAAAGAATTTATGCTTTAATAAAAAGACGAAACGAAATGAAAAACAAACAAACAAAGGAATTGGAGGACAGGCTAGTTTTACTATCAATGAATATAAATTCTATTGATATCCAATAATTCTTAATATCTAAATTTTACCATGTTTTCTGCAGAATGAAAGTCAATCTCCTCGTCTTTGGAAATCATATTTGATTTTATTTCGAATTCTTGTGATAAGAAGATCAATGAGTCCCCAGGAATATCACAACCGATAGGCTTGTTACTCTGATTCTCGGGCAAAATTTCCCAGCTTTTTTCACCTTGGTTTACACATGAAGCAAAACAATTAATATCACTTAAGAAGGCAAATGAAAGTTTTCAAAAAATATCATGTCGTTTCAAGGCAATTTTGAGCCTATTTATCAGGTTCAAAGTTTGTTTTGGATTAAAAAAACGTACTTACCTGTTAAATAGACTTGAATGAGATCAAGTAGAACTATTCTGATTAATAAAAAAGTTTGACAAATCAGCTACAATTGATTAAGAAAAAAAGACGCTTACAATGGAAAACTTTACAATAATGTCACTCTACATTTGTTACCTAGCACTGGGATCAAACTCCATTCCTTGATAAAGATCACCAACATGTCCATTTGCGACAAAAGCTTCCAAAATAAAATAGCTGCAGAATTAATAAAAAATCAATGAATTCATCGTTTGAAACCTTGAGGCTTTCAAGTGAGAACAACAAGAGAGACTGGGGCAAGTGGAAAGAACAAAGGGAAAGAGGTCCCTGGGATCATCCACTAAAACCTTGACCACATCCAGATACATATGATCAATGATGAAATGGTCTACCGCCCTCTTCAATCTATCTGATATATCAGTGTAAATGGTCTTTTTAGGTGAGATAGTTTCCATGAGTGTACGTTCAACTCTCGCTATAACGGACACCCTCAGGACCGTAATTTAGTGTCTACAGTATTAGAGAGAGTCTGTAGTAAGGGGAGTTACTTTCAGGCATTTCTTTGTATTTTTTGGTGGGGATTCAGTATTTCATGTCCATAATATCGAGGAGTCCGTAATAACGGTGTGTCCGTAAGGCGAGAGTTGACTCTAGTGGTTCATGACTGATTGCCTAGTAAGCAGTTTTACATGCATCAGTACTTTCGGAGAACAATGCGTCCGCCATCTTGAAAAGTGGGACCGTCCCACTTTTTGAATCACTAAATTATAACTCCTAAAGGATTTAAAAATTTCTCAGCTAATGTCAAGTTATTATTATACGATATAATGATATATTAGTTGACTTAGCAACTACGAAATGTGTTCTAAGGCACAACATAGTGATTCCRGTCTCACTTTTTTTCAAGATGGYGGACGCGTTGTTCTCCGAAAGTACTGATGCATGTATAACACTTTTTTCTCTGGTGCACTCACCCCCATTCAAGATTCTCATGATCTGCACACAGGTGAAGTATTTGTGACATGATTTTCAAACCATTTGGACATGRCACAAGGTCTTTTCTACAATACAACAACATTCCTAACTTTAACRTTTTTAACTTTTAACTTTGCCTTTAAAGACTGATATAACATTACATATTTTTTCTTGATTTAGTCACCCCCCTTTGGAATGTTCTAGATCTGCMATTGGCAATTTAAAGTTCACTGAAGACGAGCTTTGTTTAACTTAGCAAAAATGTATGATAGATTATAAAAAGAATGAATAAGAGCTACAATATTATGATATGGAGAGGTAATATTTTGACATAAGATTGTGTATGGCTGTTCTTTCTGCGTTCTCTTCCTTTCCCACATTCCTTTTTCCCACACCACTCTCAAGTCAGATCTGTCCAAGTCACAAATCATTTATTATTAATAGAACTAACCTTCTCTGAGATGACAGACAATTGTAAATAACCATGCAMACAAAGTTTTGTATTTCATAGTTTACAGAAGTCATTACTGACCTAAAAAAAACAATATTTGACATTGACCATTTTTGAGTATACATAATAGGTGCTTTCATGTTATTGTAAAAGTGTTACATGTACATGTATATTAAACCAGGTGAGTCAAAAACTTATCAACTTACAAAAAGAACTCGGGAAAACATTGTCTCCAAACATAATCCTGTGTCTGTGTATTTCCAACGACCACATTACCCAACAATTGKATGCCACTTTTGATGGCTTCATTGACTTTGTCTGCAATAATAATGCAAAATATATTGGTTTTATATTGAAAATTTCATTGATTTCTCATTTGTTGAGAACCATGGTAAATAAAGTGCATACCACAATAATTGCAAGATTACTTTTTTCTTCTGGGATTTTTGTTATCTAATTGATGTTACTAGAATATTTTTTTGTGGTCAAAAACAAATTTAGATAGTTAGTTTCTTGAGGTGTACCCTCTTTTTCACCATGGTTGTTAAAATTGTTGTTTATTTAC